TTTTCGCACGACCGTATAAACCGTTCCCAAACTCCTCCGCGGTGACTGCTGTAAGGTGGGTTAAAATGCCATTGGGTTCCAGATGGCGACAGTCGATCTTGAAGGGCTCGTTTGTCTAATCGCATAAAGCAGTCGCTCAACTTTTGTACACCCACGAAATTGGACCCGTTGTCGGAGAACAAATTCGATGGATCACCTCGTCTACACACAAGTCTCTGCCAGACCATAAGAAGGCAGTCGGTCGGCATGCTGTGCGCGGTCTTTATAAGCAAAGCTCGTGACTGGAGGCAGGTCATCGGGCGTCCGTAACGTTTCTCCAGTCACGAGCTTTGCTTATACCATAGTGGCCCAAAATAGTCCACTCCAGTTTTGGCGAAGGGCCATCAACCTGGTCGTATTCAGGAAATTGGTAACGAGGCCATCAGTTGTTTGCTGAATGTAGCATTCTGCCGACAACAAAAGAGGCAGTTGCCCACGATGAGCTTCACCGTAGCTCTCCCTTTCACTATCCAAAACCGACGGCGAATCGTATGTAGTAGGTTATTTTCCCCTGAATGACCTTCCTGCATGTGAGTATGTATGATGTGTGTGTGCGTGATGTGGTGGTTGTTGGGCAAGATGATGGGATATTTAGCTTCAAAGTCCAACTCAGAGTTTTTCAATCTACCGCCTACTCTCAGCAAACCATCTATCAATATTGGACAGAGTCTTCGGAGAAAACTGTAACGTAATGCACATCGGTTGGAGTAACGATTCCCCTTGCCTAACCCTTAAAGCTCCGACGGGAAGGCTTGTGATCAAACCATGCGAACAACATCAGCTTCTGCTGTTTTCAATTCATTTGGAACGATGGGCCTAATACTCAAGGCGTCAGCACGTCGGAGTCCTCTCAGGATGAAGAGTTTTCGTTTGAATCTGGTCCACCGGACAACCACTCTCAGCACCGTTCATTGTGAAAAACGATGCAGCTTCTGCGGTAAGTTGTTGGTTGAAGCAGCGATTAACGTAACGGTCCTCTTAGTCTCCAGTAGCTGCGTTGCGACAGGGGAAATCTGAGTGTCGGGCCATTCTCTGGGCTGGTCCGTCAAGAAAAACGGCCCATGTAATCATGATTTTATTTTCTCCAAGTTGAGCACACACCTGGAGTAGTAGTCGTTCGGGTTGTCACAGGATTTTATGTAGCACCATTGACCCACCTCCGTTTCTTCGTGAATGCCAACTAGCCAGTTGGCAACAAATGTGCTGGCTCAGCCACAAGCTTTGCCAGGTCTTGTGATTTGCTGCGCATAGGGTCTCATCCCAAGTGACCTTCTTTCGACACAGGTCCTGCAGCAGAATCTTGCCCGGCAGTAGCCACGGTGCGACGAACCCCATTGGATTGTAAA